TGTGTGTGTGTGTGTGTGTGTGTGTGTGTGTGTGTGTGTGTGTGTGAGAGAGAGAGAGAGAGAGAGAGAGAGAGAGTTTGCCACATTGTCCATAAAGTGATTCTGATACGTGCTGCTCGGTTTCTTCTCTGCCTTTTGCCTTCCAGGAAATGCTCCAAGATGCACGCCCAGCATTACGACTCACATGACAATACTACTTCCAACAACTCCCTCTCATGAATCGCAACTGCAAAGCAGATTGGATACTGAGTACTTCATTCATACATTGCAATGCCTGCTTAACGACAGTGGCACTCTTATAATCGAAGGTGACCTCTGACAACTCCCCCATACCAATTCTGAATCACACCATCTCGGCCCACCGAACTGAGACTCAGCAAGTAAGCACCTGGGCTACATATCATAAACATATTCAGAAACACAGCAAACAGACTTAAAAACAGAATCTTGAGCAAAGTTCAGCAAACAGATTAATGGGACAGCATTTTCTCAGAAAAGTCGAGTTCTCGGACTGACAACTGTGTGGGTCATTTCACAACAGCGCACAACAACAATCGCTGCTGAGAAGGTACCGGTTTCCCAAAGAAAATGATCGCACTAAAAGAAAGAAAAAGGAGGAAGGGGCCAAGCAGCCTAGCTCAGCTGGTTGAGCACGTAAGTGGTACACAGGAGGTCGTGGGTTCGATTCCCCACGGCATCCATTCGATTCCCCACGACCCCCTGTGTCGGCTTCACCGACTGAGAAAGTCGGCTTGTCCCTCCTGGTTGGTTGCCGAAGTTGATCCATTCCCAGCCCACACCAGGTGTTAGGAGCTTGGGTGCTGCTCCCCGTACCGAGCAGAGTTAGGTAGGCATAGACCCATAGGCCTGAGTAGTAGATTTAAGGCTGGTCCTCCTTCCAATGTAGGGTAGTTGCTTCTCCTGCTTCTCCGGACTAGATCTGATCCGTTATCTGCCGGGTAGGGATTGTGGGTAGGGCATTGACATGGGTAGCTAGTGTGAGGCCTATTAAGAGAAGAAAATAGGGTAGTTTAAAAAAGTACAACTGTCCCCCATATGAGGTGTATTTTATTTTTTTGTTTTTTTATTTGTTAAAAAAGGAGGAAGACGAGGAGGGAGGGAGGAGGAGGAGTGAGGAGGAGGAGGGAGGAGGATGACGAGGATGAGAACAAGGGAAAAAGAAATTGTGTGCCTGTGCACTACGTGGCATGCGACTGGAGGAGAGGAGGAGGAAGTAGGAGGGAGGAGGAAGGAGGAGGAAGGAGGAGGAAGGGGAAAGGAGGAAGGAGGAAGGAGGAAGGAGGAAGGAGGAAGGAGCAGGATGTTTAGAGACGAGGCAGGGGGAGGAGGAAGGAGAAAGGAGGAAGGAGGAAGGAGCAGGATGTGGAGAGACGAGGCAGGGGGAGGAGGGGGAGCAAGGAGGATGACGAGGACTAGAACAAGATGAAAAAAAAAGTTGTGTGCTGGTGTTGCACGTGGCGTGCAACGGGAGGAAAGAGGAGGGACGAGGACGGGGAGAGACGAGGAGGGAGGAGGAGGAGAGGGAGGCAGAGGATCACGAGGACAAGTTTGAGATTAAAAAAAAATAGAAATTGCATACCAGTGTCATATTGCACGTGACGGGAGGAGAGAGGAGGAAGGAGGGGTGAGGACGAGGAGGAAGGAGGAGAGAGGAGGAGGAGGAAGTTGGACAGAAGAGGAGGAAGGAGGAGAGAGGAGGAGGAGGAAGTTGGACAGAAGAGGAGGAAGGAAGAGGAAGGGGAAGGAAATTTGAGGAAGGAGGAGGAAAGAGGAGGAAGGAGGTGGAGCAGGGATGAGGATGAGAAGAAGATGGGACAAAAAATTGCTTGCCGGTGTGCCACGTAGTATGCAAAGGGAGGAAGGAGGCGGGATCAGGAGGGAGGAGGGAGGAGGGAGGAGGGAGGAGGGAGGAAGGAGTAGGTTGGAGGAAGGAGGAGGGAGGACGAAGCGAGACGAGGAGGGAGGAAGAGGAGAAGGAGGAGGGAGGAGAATGACGCGTGTAAGAACAAGGTGTAAAAAAATTGTGTGCCACAGGAGAGAGGAGGAGGAAGGAAGAGGGAGAAGGAGGAAGTTGGAGAAACGAGGACGAGGGGAGACGAGGAGGGAGGAGGAGAAGAGGATGTCGAGGACGTGAACAAGTTGAAAAGAAAAGAATCACATGCTGGTGTGCCATGTGAAGGAGGAAGAGAGAGGAGGAACAAGGAAGAAGGAAGGAGGGAGGAGGACAGGGGGAGACAAAGAGGAAGGGGGATGTGGAGGCGAATCACAACCTCTCATGCGGGTGGGGCCGTGCTGGTCCTTTTTGTGACAATACTGAAACTTTGTTTTCGGTGAAGTATAGACTCCAAGATGATCCTGCCGCTTCTCGAAACTGAATTGCTTGCAACGGTGCAACTCATCCGCGTGTTTCTAAAAGTGATAAAGACCACTTCTTTATCCCTTACGCCCCTAATTGGTCCTCTTGCCATATCTGTGCAGACCTGGCTAGATCTAGTGATCTCCTTTGATGACAGGCTATGGTCCCCGGAATTAGTTTATCATTCCAGGTGTCTTCCATGCATGCTCCATGCATGAAATAAGTCATGTCCGTCTCGTTGCGGACATCTGCAAATCCCTTCCCCAATTTAATTAATTAAATGAAATCATTCATTCAATCCGGCAAATGCTGTGGGCACTGGGAATGCTAGTAAAGGTGATGGGATGGGTGGCGTAGGGGCCAAGAAGTCGGCATCTAGTGAATCTGGCGTGTTGCTTACCTTTGCATAGAATGATGCTGCCCGTTGGTAATCGCCGGCGGCAAATGCTGCTTCAGCCTGGGGAACAATAAACCAGCCAAGCGAACAAGGCCCCCAACACATATGATCATCCAGGCCCCACAGTAGGTTATGAATGTGATATCACACCCGGAAAAGTTATTTTTTATTGCAAAAAAAAAACACCAAAAAGTTCTTTTGTTTTTTTTAACACTTCAAGAAAAGTGCTAGCCAGCCAATCACATTACCGTATCCATCAGGATTTGAATTCTAAACCTGCTCACTAACAGTTAGCTGTGCTGATCATTTCACCGACTACCTTCAACAATCCAATAGCCTGGTCATTATCACTGCATCTAGACAGAATGTTGCCCAAAATACAGCTATTCGGGTTAAGACACTCGGCATACTGTAGTGGTTAATGCTAAATAGATCAATAGTAGATTCAATACAACTACGGGGTCTGTTTTATGGGAGGGAGAGAAGGGGGCGGGGTGTTGCGGGGGGGGGTTGCTGGAGGGAGGTGTGCAAGGAGCTGGGTGCAGGGGGTTCTTATTCCACTCGTTCATTTCTCGACCTGCCCACTCAACCTCTCTTCTCTCCCTCCTTATCACCACCTTCCTCCCCTCCCTCCCTTGCACCAATAAAAACACGCAGCAGAGAAAGAAACGTGTAGAAAACCTTTGCAGCGTTTGTTGAACTTTGTTCGTTTGCGCTGCTGCCTCCTTGCGGGCCACAAACCACCCATACCCAACAATAAGCTTATGTACGTATGCAGCCACAAAGCCAACTACATTCATTCTCACATCCTCTTCTTGCTTCCCCTTTCACACTCCCCAACAAACCTCTCTTATGTGAGAAACACTGCATGATTCCTTTCCACTGCAACTGAAAAAGGGAAAGAGAACCGAGAAGAATATGGAAGACTCCTCTGGCACATCTGGCCTAGCTCAGTTGGTACACCCCTTAACTGTCAAAATATGGACCGGAGTTACAACTCCGCTGGAAGCAGATGAGTGAAATACTACAATTCTGAATTACCTAGGCCTGGTCAGTTCAATGATGATATCTCACGGCCGTCACGCTTTTTCTTTAAAAATGATACAGAGAAGATCAGCGTGGCCCCTGTGCAAGGATGACACACATAAATCAAGAAACGGTCCAAAAAAACAAGGGAAACTTCCGTACCATGGTCGTTGAAGACAATCAATATTGTCCTGAAGAGCTGAGTTAGCTATTCAACTGAAAAATCTGCTGATAAATGGGACGCTGAGCCCGGTTTCCAGCAGGTGTAGCTCCCCGCCAATCGACTTTCTCTCTCACCAGTCAACAATCCTGGTGACGCTCCTATCACTCCTGGCGTATGGTCAAAAATGGTCATACAGAGTGTCGAATGCAAAGTAACACAAGAAAAAGAAAAAGAAAAAACAGAAAAAAAAAATTCACAGATGTTGCATAAAAACATACCAGGAGGCATACGCTCTTTTCATGGCACACGAACAAAGAAAAGGGAGGCAAGATGCGGGGGGGGGAATTAAAAAAAGGAAGAGCAGAGAGAAGCGACAAGAAGTCCGAAGTATTTTCATACCTGGGCGGCATAGACTCGATCTCGTTGCAGTGCATCCCGGCAAAAACTGAGAGCTGCGGCGTATTCTTTTCTGTCGAGATGTGCGCACCACATGTCGCGTTCTTCATCATGGACTGATATCTGCACGCCATTCAAGCGAGAAACTTCACCCCATGGCAGTTAAACAACCACTCCATCCGGACATATTTCGACAAACGGAAAGTTGCATTTCCCAGAGCCCAAAATCTACAGTGGCGCAATGAGGAAAAATAATTGTGGGGCAAGACTTTCCAATCTTTCCTAATTTGCTAACGGCCCCGGGCACTGCAAATTTTGGCCCGGTACTTGTAGACATGAAAAATGAACAGCGCAGGGACCGTTGGAGTGGAGGCTTAAGCCACCAGTGCATGTCAGCCATCGGCCGTGGGCCCCTTTTGGAGGCCGCCCGCCATCGATTTATTTTACTGGCGGCGTGCAAGCCTCTGAAATTTTAGGAGAGGCTCAATCGGACTCTCAACTTGGCTGGGGCCATGTACTGGTGCTTCAACACAACACATCATCTCATCTGGGAGGAAAATCAGAAAATGCCACCAAACAGTTGCCTCAGGGGAAAAAAAAAAAAAAAAAACCATCATACACGCACCACCTACCAGTTTCTGACATACTGGTTTCTCCAGAACACAACAAGAGCTTAAAAAAAAAAAAGACTGTATTCGACTGGAATTACAGCTTGTATACATTCACTATTAGAGTGTGTTGTGCTCAGGGAGAGACGATAGGGCACCAACCACTCTGTGTCACAAAAAATGGTTCCATTCACAACCAAGTGTTTTCTTAGATTGCTCACCGTTCACATGGTGAGATTGCGGGGACAGGAAAAAAAAGAAAAAAAAGGGTCTAATCATTTAATGATTTAATCGTTCGTTAGAGTCCTTCCTATTCGCTGGCATTTTTCCCTAGCATTGGCACAAACCTGATCAACACTTGAGCCAGATTCATGCATGGACCTTGTCCACCGCTTGAACCAGATTCATACAAACCAGCAGGCATGGACCATCGGCATGATCAGCTCAAACCTGGGCCACGAAGTGAGAAACGAACATCTGGCTTGTATTTTGCATTTGATGTCAATGCAAGCAACACAAATTGAACAACTTCATGAACCTCTTTTTTAAGTGCATTTAGCCCGACTTGTGCGGTCCATGCTTGCCGTTTCATGATATCTGCAGAATGCAGGTTCAGGTTTTTGCATGCAAGGCGGTAATGCAAGGAATGCCTATACCTACTCAGTGCTTCTGCTTTTTTCTTTTCTTTCTTTTTTTCTTTTTTCCCCAAGACCATTTCTTCTCGATTTATTTGTGCCATGCTTGCACCGGGGCCATGTGCGAGGAATGAGCCCTCGCGGGGTCCTTGTCAGCCATGCACGTGATCTGAGCTGAGGCCCCCAGCAAGCTCTGTGCCCGCCCTAAGTGAAGGCGGGCCTGAATATCTACGTGAGGCCTATTTCCGACATTTTTCCATATGTGGGTACTCAGACAGTGCAGCACGCCAGCTGGTTACAGGGCAACATGAGCCTTCTGGCTCTTTTCAGAAACATGGGCTGCGCTGTACAGTTGAGCCCAGGGCCTGGGTGGTTACGCCCTGGGCACACACAGTGTGAGGCCGACACATCACGCAGCGGCCACGAAGGGTGGCCTGAATGTCCCTAACTGCACGAGGCCCAGACCAAGATCGGGAACTGGGCCTGGGCGTAGACACCTGGGGCCCAACCGAAGCTACTGGGCCCCCACACACGCCTGGCCAGGCCAGCCAGCCACGACACACTTTCCATAAAGGAAAGTGTGAGCCTCTGGCAGGGACATTCTGGCCTTGGCAGGCAATGCGGACGCGCTTCTGCGTTGCTGCGCTAGCATCTGCATGGGCCTGCTGGTCGGACGAGCGCACTGGCAGAGAGCTGAGGGGCGCTGCAAGGGCAGCGGACGCACCACAGCCATAGCCAGGCTGGCGCAAGGCAGGTGATGGCGAAGGTGGTCTTCGGGTAGGAGGCGCATGCTGTGGGAAGACGAGGGTTGATGAGGGGAGGAGAGAGAACTTACCTGGTGTATGCTGGTGGTCGGCATTGGTGTTGACGTCACGTACATTGGTCTTCCACTTCAAAGTGATCCAGTTGCAAGAACATAGATAGGCTAGATAGGCTGGGCACTGGGCGCCAGACAGTAAGTGTGACATTGGATACAGTGTTGGTGTGACCAGAGTGGCGACATTGACATTTGAGTTCACTGTATTGCTCTTATTTGGACGGTATCTTGGTGCATTGCACTCTCTGCTTGGCTCATGACTATCTGAGCTTCTTCGTGATTTTGCAACTTGTATTTCTGTCTATCGCGTAAAAGGGCCTTTTACTTGATTCAGACCCTGAATGACGAATGCAGCATAATGGGGTCACTCGGCCAATACCCAACTCGTGAAAATCAGATTAACAGGCATGTTCTCTGGGTCAAAAGTCACGTCCTAACTAAAGTAAAAGCCCATGTCAAAGGTCACAGTTGTGCCCCTGGACGAACAGTTGCAATATTCAAATGTGGGAGTCACATCTGTTCATCCAGGGGGTGTGCAGATTACGTCTGTTCATGCAGGAGATGTGTCTGTTCGTGCAGTAGGTGTGTCTGTTCAAAGGAAGTCAAAAAGATAAAGTCTCAGTCAAGGTTCAAGTCAAAGGGAGAGTCTAGATACAGACTGAAAGTCCGAAATTAAGGCCTGAAGGCCGCAGCAGCAGTGACCCCTGAGGATAAGGGTCTGGGACACACTCCACAGAGGCTGGGACTGGGAAAGGACCCAAGACAGACTGAATTCAGACCTCGCAAGGGGAGGCCAGCACTATAAAGAACGGGGCAGCCTCCCCACAAGGCAGATTTCCCATGGCATTGATGCGTGGAAGTGCTGAGGCACTTGTGCGTTATAGTGCAGGGAGGCGCGCTGACTGAGAGAGGGCTGCGCCAGAAGGAAGGAGGGCTGGGCGCTGGTTGCAGGGAAGCCATAGCTGCGCCAGCTTGTGTTAGCAGTAGTAGAAGGTTTAGTTGTTACGGACTTCGCCAGGGCTCGATCCCTGGTCTATCTTTTGCTGTTTCGGCTGCATCCCGTTTTCGGCCTGGCACCCTTTTTCCAAACCCCTCCTTTGGTACCGTAGGATTTTGGACAACTGGCGCCATGCTGCAATTCGGGCGCCACTTT